GCTTGAATTCTACTTTGATTGATATGAGGATGGAAACCTCTTCTTGCTCCCACAGTCCATGTGAGTGGTATGATTTTTCCCAAATTTTCCCCTCAATCTGTGGATGGATTTTCCAATGAGATGAGTCTCTTAGAAGCAGCAAATTTTTGAGTCTTTTTTTTAAATCCCGTCTGCCAGTCTATATATTTTGATTGGTGAGTTTAGGCCATTAACATTCAGGGTTATTATTGAGACATAATTTGTATTTGTAGCATTTTTTTTTGGTGTTTAATTTCACTTGGTTTCTCCTTTCATTAATTTTTTCCTTTAGTATAATACGTCCCTTTTCTGATTTTTCTTGATGTTTTTCAATTCCTCTTCATGGAATATTCTGCCAAGGATACTCTGTACTAGAGACTTTCGAGTTGTAAAATCTTTTAACTTCTGTTTATCATGGAAGGTTTTAATTTTATCATGAAATCTAAAGCTCAGTTTTTCCTAGATATAAGATTCTTGGTTGGCATCTATTTTCTTTCAGAGCTTGATATATATTATTCCAGGACCTTCTAACTTTCAGAGTTTAAAACTCTGCACATATTCTAATTGGTTTCCATCAGTATCTAGTCTGATTCCTTTCTCTCATGGCTTTTAATATTCTCTCCTTATTCTGTATATTAAGTATTTTCATTATAATGTGCCTTGGTGTGGATTTATTATAATTTTGTACATTTGGCACACTGTAAACCTCTTGAATTTGGTTTTCCAATTGATTCTTTATGTTTGGAAAATTTTCTGATATTATTTCATTGAACAGATTGCCCATACCTTTTGTTTGGAACTCCATTTTTTCCTCTATCCCCACAACACTTAAATTTGGTCTTTTTATGCTATCCCATATTTCTTTGTTCTGATCATGGTTTCTTACCATTTTTATTGTGTGATCTTCATCCTTTTCAAGATTATATATTTTGTCTTCATTGTCTAAGGTCCTGTCTTCCAAGTGGTCTAATCTGTTGGTGATTCTTTCAATTTAATTTTTTTT